GTGTGAAGTAATGACGACGCACCACTGTCCCTAAATATGTACACAGATAGCGATATTCATCGCCGCAACCACGGCTGGTACCGCTGGAGTCCAAACCCCTCTAACTTTTGGGCGCATTGGTCCAAGGTTGAGGTTTGAGCCCGTAAAATAGGCACCAAAAGGGAAATGGACCCTGGTCACATTTATGGTGGTCACATCTATGGCTGTGGTGTGGCCCTAACCACCACTGGGGTTGGTGGGAACTGGACCGCGGTAACTTTTGAGCAGTGTTGACTGTTTTTGAGTTTTGAATACATGAAGTAGCATTAAAACAGACCTGGACGTGTGACATTGGAGGCGTGGTTGCATCCATGGCTATAGTTGCATGATGACGACGAAGTGGGGCTCATATGGAATCGAATAAAAAGGTTGCAGTATTGTTCACAAAACATACCAAAAAGAAACCAAAAGGCAATTCTTATCGGAAATACTGTGTTTCAAGTGGCGTAGACAACTGGGTGTGGCTGTTGGGGAACGGGGCTAAGCGCACCGCATATCCTAACATTCTTCTTGAAGGGGAAAGTGTATTATTCGCACAAATTTCAACTAAATGATCCCTATTCTCAATTTTACCAAACAAACTTCACTCGCTTTGATAGGATTACATTGGCGCAAATTCTAGTGCGATGCTACTAGGGCTCCAAAGTACCACTCGGCGACATTACCCGTCCACTACCCGCGCACATTTAGTGTCTGCTGTGCCGGGAGCTTAAAGCTGGATGAAAAGGTAATTGGACCATCACGTACCTGCAGCCTATAGATGTTAGACATTTTGGGAGAAAAGGTGAAAGCTGATAAAGAATTGTAGCACGCGTGCAGCAATGCAATATTTTAATTATTTAATTTCCCAGGCACCACTGCTATGTTCGTACGCTCTCTGCTAATCACCATTGCGCGTTATCACCACTTTCACCGTATCGTTTTTGCGGGTGCTTTGTAACACAAATAGGTACGGCCGTGTAACTTTGCGTACCCCTGCCATACGGTACTTTTTTGCTGACAAGCTGATGGACAATTTTGATAAATGCTGCTGGCATAATTAGATTTTGACACGGTGTCACTATATCTTTGAGCAATAGGCTTTTTAATAGTTTGGACACGATCAGGTTTCGATTTGAAATAAATGCAGCGTCTGGGCCAGGCTCGGCCAGGGGACAGAATTTCGTCCCCTTAATGTTTCGGGGATTAGCAAATGTAGCGGAGCGAGGGAAAATTTTGGGTGTTCATTTTTTGCCTTTTTGAACCCGCTTATAACCGTGGGAAATTTTAAAGTTTCAAGCAGGTCACTGCGCTGCCCAAGGTCAAACCTCAAGCAGATTTGTTGAATATTGTAGAAGTGCTCCGCTCTGCGTTACATGTAAGTTCAATGGTTTCGTTTGATTTTCAACCATTCTATGGTCTAATAACTTGCAGCGCAATGGTGGACTGGCAGGGACCAACTTTAAAGTCTTTTCTTCAAGCGACTGGACACGTGTTTTCTGGACCATCACCAACAAACACATTGGTAACGCGCTTTTTACCTTTCGATTCCCGAGACTCAATGAGAGCAATGAAGTTACGCAGTTCAATAAAATAATCGAAAAGATGGCTTAGATAAACTAAAGGGATAAGTAAACGTTTCCCAAAAATATATCTCTTCGTTTAACGTATGTAAATCATCTGACCTATAATGCCGTTCAGAAGTGCCGACAATTCGCAGAAAGCATTGTAGCTAATTCTATGATGTAGACTAGGGTCGGACGAAGGGAACATGACCCTCTAAACCAAGAAGTTTACACTCGGCCCTGGATTATTTCGCAATGTTGACATTTGGCCCGCGGGGAAGATTTTTACTACGTGGCTGAGAAAATGGCAATGCAAATTTCGCGGGCATTGTGCCGTCTCATTTTCACGGTGTGCAGCGTTGCAAATCGTTCGGGGGTCGCAACTGTCTCTCACCAGTTGGGCTTGCGTATTGATTCGCACTATGCGTGAAACTTTACCGCTTACGATGTGTTTTGTTTCAACCCACGTCACTTATGTAACCTGAAGAGACCCATCTAAATGATGTCTTCCCTCTCTTCAAGCTCATGACATTCGTTTTCCAGGTCGCGCAGAAGCTGGGTTTACCAGCCCTACGGAAGCGCCCAGGGGCACAGCCACCAAAGGGCCAAGGGGCAGCCGCCGTCCCCCCCCCCCCCACTCACATACACACCATGTCCGTTTTCTGTAAAATGAGACGCGACGCGCAAGACAGCTCAGCCACAGCTGAATGCAGTTTCAACGCGCGGCGGGGCTGAAAACTTGATTCGCTTAATGGTGACGCACAGGAGGATCAGCGCGGCGGCAGCGTGTCACGTGTTTCACCGTCGTCTGGATCGAGAGGGTTCAACTCAGGCCGCAGTCACTGTTGCCAGTTTAAAGACATGACGTCAGAGGATGTTTGGCTGCGCTGAGGCTGCAACATACACGAAGGCGGTGCAGACCTGGAAAGAGGATGCGAATATTGTGATCAGGCAGCGCGTCGTTGAGATGCCATCGCCACCGTGGAAAGATGGCCAGATTTGCTCGCGTTTATCATTTTCCGTAAGGAAACAAAACACGCTTGGGAACGAGCGCCCAAGCCATAGCGTAGCTGCGTGATAAAACACGAAATGCCAACCTGCGAAGCCTTTGCCACCGTACGCGCAGATGTTTAAAAGCTGATGCATTGTATGGCCAACCGGCGCAGATGGCATAGCACGCACTGTACTGAGAAGAAACTTTAAAACTGCATTAAAAAATCAGCCGGCACGGGCAACGGACGCTATTCCACGTTGGGGGGGGGGGGGGACGGATGATGCAGTTTTGACTATTTCTTTCTGATCAACACCCACAGGGCCAATGTTAAACTTTCCGAAAGTTTTGGGTCTCAGCCCCTGCCTCTCTCCATTCCCGGTCCCCGCGCGACATTACCTTACACACCGCAAGGCACGTGAGGTTTGCATAGCAAAGATCATTTATAAGAACACCGGTTATTATACGCATGATTTCTCATCGATTTTATTTAAATGTCCTTCTGATCGTTTTCCCACTCCGTCCCCTCCCCTCCCCCCCCCCGCATTCAAAATTGGCCGCACTGCCTCCGCTACGTCGAACGGTGTGTAACCAATCCATACCATGATCTTAAGGCCAGAAGAGGGACTTTGGAACAAATAAGCGTCTTATGTTGACAAGTATAAAGCAATGATTTTACTCAAGAAGGGGGGGGGGGCTTTCACACTTTTCTGGGCCCAGGATTTTGGACCGATTCCCCTACAAAATTTCCCAGAAAGTTTCTAGTGTACCTAAAACCCAGAATGCAGAGAGCGTGATTCCCATCGCCCTCCCCCCCCCCGCCTGATTTCGTTGCTGTCAGATTCTACGAGTCTACAATTAGAGCTTATTACGACTTCCAGGATCGAAATGGTCGCCTCATGTGGCTAACTTCTCAAGACGTTCAAGTTGTCCCGCCTTACACTAACGTTGTCTCTATCCAGGAATGGTGCGCACATCAGGGCTGTAATGAAATATTCTGACCCCCTGACAGTGTAGTTTTGAGCGGGCGTTTACACTTGCGCCTATTCAATTAGAGTCGTTTGATTGAATGGCAAAATATAAATTACCGGCTTCATGGAGCCAATACCCTCTGTAGGGATGTAAGTTGATTGCATCAGTTGACACGTGATCGGAAATAGAGCGCTAGATTTGTGTTCATGTAGTTTGCGCATTTAAAGTACGACATAAGCCACCATTTAAAACGGTTTTTGGGTCGTGGCCTGTGGGAGACAGATAGCCTTCGGAAATGTTCAATCCTGCAAAATAAATCGTTTTAGATTGAAAAACGACCACCCAGTAATCATTCTGAGATAACGTTTTCCCGACACGATAGCCATCTCACTTTGAGGCGTAGGAAAACGTCACTTTTGCATCAATCTGCTAACGAAACAAAGAGCCGAGGTCAGCGATGTTGTACGGGCCAATTAGTTTTGGTACACAATTTGTAATTTCGTGCAGATGGGCTGATTAGGTGCATCTGACTTCGCCACATCTCTCCATGGCCCAATCAACATCCACTACGTTTTTTTTAGCTGTTTTCAACCTCCCTTCCTTGTTTACGGGCTGGTTACGCTGGGCGATGACCTCATCCCCTTAGTTTCGCTGTAAAGAAGCCTGTTTCTTGAGGTGCGGTGCAATTTGCAGCTGCTTCTGCGCGACAGGTAGGTACGCTACGCCTTCTAAACCCGCTCTTCCTTGTTATGCTTGAGTTACAGTCCATAAAAACTTCCACCCTATGCATCACGTGATTTATGGACAACCTCCTTCTTCGTACGCAGCTCCAGGAACTCCCGCCACCGGTTGTTCGGAAAGACGTGGTAAAGCTGCTTTATACAGAGCTATCTGTTGCACATTTGCATACTGCGAGTTCCTTATATGCTCAACAGATGTCAAACTGGTGCATAGGCAGCAAATTGCGTAGGCAGCAAATGGACTGTTTCGGCGGGCGTCATACGGACACATGTTGAAATTCTTTAGGGCATGCATTCACCCGTCAGCCCCGTATTGCTGCTCCTAATCATTGCGCTCTGGACCCTAAAATGCGTTACGGACATCCAAAATAACAGGCATATATTTCTGGTGTGGCCGCCCGCTTGCGCTGTGCTATATGGTTTTCCTGTATAAGTCGTACAAATTGAATTGACCAATTGGCTTCGAGAGTTGTGAGGTGTTAGCCAATCACTGCACTTCCTGATCCTGACGATCAATGCGTCAGAGTGACGGCGTTCGGGGCTCTGACGCGGTCTGACGTTTCAAGGCGTCATCCAGTGGGATCGCGGCAAGCTCGTGACGAAAAAGACGTAACTGGTAGGTCGTTAGATGGGCGATGATGCAAAAAGTAATTACGGTTGTGTTCAGCGAGTGCAGATGGGCTACCATGGGACATAGCAGTGTTGTGAGTTGTTCTGTGCGTGATCGTAGGCAATGGCCCGCGAAGTATTGGACCACATAACCCTCCTTTTTTTCATCAGTTATTAGGATGAGACGTCACGGGCTCCATTCACGGTCAATGCTTATTTTGTTTCCAAATTGGGCCCAAGATGCGTCTTCCGGGGTTGATACGGTGGCCAGCGGCCCAGCACTTCCCATTTGATGGCCATGTACACTATGATGTGAACTGATGCCCATATGTGGGGTGGGCTTATCAGGATCATCTACAAACACGTTGTCCATGGAGGGTTTGATGGAGTGCAACCAACGCGTGGCACGAGGAGGTTGGTTTTAGACAGCTTAATGTTGAGCTGTGGTGTGGTTGCCAAATACCAATCATACTGAGATCTTTAGAAATGTGCTATAGAGGTAGCACTGGATAGGTGTTTTTGTGCAACATAAGCAAGGTAGTGAGTGTTAAAATGTTTAATTTAATCCATGGCTGATCCCATTTGCACCACTTGTAGGGTTGGTACCAGAAGTTGAAGATGTTAAGGTTCATCTTGTGAATGATAAACCTTGCATTTCTACTACAGTGCCTGTGACTTTTTAAAAAAATGTGACTGTCCCTGCTATAGTATGCATGTCCTCAACTATTTTGCTTTTTCAGGGATGGAAGCTGGACCAGATGAAGGACTTGCTATCCTTCCAGACGCAGCCAAAGATTCAATGGATACCCAGTCGGATTTAAATGGAACAACTGTTAGTATTTGCATGTTTTTCATAATGATGTAGCATAAAGCATAATTAGCACAATGTGTTGCTTTAAAGATCAATACACATGTTGTTACCCATCTCAAAGCTTGTAATACCCAACAGGATGGTGGTTGACTGCCCTCTGTCTCAACGTGAACCTTAACATGGAGAAGATTACACTCATCAATAAGTTTTCCTATGGTGCTTTGTATACTTCAGTGTCAAAATATGATTTTATTTGATGGTTTTCTAATTGTAGTGCAAGGGTACAAAATGCAAATGCACCTGGCCTTTACATTTTTTTTTATGATGATTCAATTTAGTGCCTTGAATACATGAACATACTAAAAAAGGAAAGATAAACATAGTTTGCAGAATGTAGGCATCATATATTTCAAATTCCATAACATGCTGCATATAGATGCCTCATGCATATTCCTAGTAGCTGCCTTTGCAGAGGAGCAGTGCTGTATTTTGGCTTTGTATGGCAGCTGCATGATGAAGTGTTATAAATGTGTATGGTTTGTAAATGGGTCATTAATATTACCTGCATGAACATTGTTAAATGGTTAAGTTTCCCCTGCCCTTTGGTTGGTTGCATGCAGTTGGTTTGCTTACAAAGTACAGACATTGCAATGCAATTATTTAACCTATATTCCACCTTTCTTATGATGGAAACACAGCATAGCAACACAGGCACACCTTATAATTTTGTTTGTTAGGTGCTTGGTCAGGGAATTAGCTTTTCTGCCTGATATCTATGCCCTCATATTTGATTGTTTATCTTGTGATCACTGTTTCAGAATCAGCAATCTGTTATTCAGTCCACAGCACCAGTTGTCCAGTTCAGCAAGAACAATGTGATCCTGGTGAACAAAGCCGGTGGTGTCATCCAGAGCACATCCTCATCAGGCCTGCAGACCATCCAGGTAGACTTGAAAATTCTAGAGACTTGTGTGCAGTGCCCAGTTGTATGTGATTCACAGCATGGGCAGGATAATCATCCATAATGGGTCAAAAGCTTTGCAGATGATTCTGGTCAGTAGAGGGGCTGGCTGGCAAAGAGTAAGATACCATGATAACCATGAGGAGATGCCACATCACTCTACACCTGTAACTCAAATACTGTTTGTGTTCTCATAATCTGTTCAGATGGTCCACCTGCATACTCACACACATAGCCCATCGCTGAGTCTGTGCACAGGCAGGTCCGGGCGCCCTTTCCCCGGTCCACTGTCCACACTGTCGATCGTGCGTTAGCTGCCCCGAGCCCCCGCCACCGCGGCCGTGACGTCACGCTCACCGGCCGCCCGGCTGCGCAGGTGATCGACGGCGAGGCGCCGCAGTACGAGGACGAGGCGGCGCGGCGGCGGCGCGAGATCCTCACCCGCCGGCCCTCCTACCGCAAGATCCTCAACGAGCTGGGCGGCGGCGAGATCTCCGAGGACAAGGGCGATGGCGACGTGGACTCGCCCGCCTCCTACCAGAACAACGGCATCATCAAGGGTGAGGCGGCGGCGCTGATATATTCATCTGCGTCCTCTCGCCGCAGTGGCTTCTGCGTGCTGACGTCGGCCGTTCGCCATTGCGACCGATGCCCAGCCCTGACGTTGTCCGTAATTGGAGCCGCCGCGCTCAGTCAGTGTGCGCACGGCGCAGGGGTGGGGTGGTTTCTCGGAATATGATGTGGCCGGTGACGCGGGGCTGCGCCGCCAGCGGACGACGTGGCGGGGCCGACCGGCGCGCCGCGGACGCCGCCGGCCGTGTCCGGAGTGTCGCGTCATCCGATGACTGGTGTCCGCCGCCGGACGGCGCGGTGCAGCCCCCGCCGGCCATGTCCGGACTGTCGCGTCACTCGGTGACCGGTGTCCGCCGGCGCCCGCAGTCATGCCGACCAACATCCAGATCTCGTGCGCCGACCCTGTGCAGAGCCTGCAGTCGATCAGCATGAGCGGCGCCGGCAGCGGCTCCGGCAACACCATCGTGCACTACACGCAGGGAGACGGCCAGTTCTACGTGCCCGGTGAGTGGAGGGCGGCGGAGCAGCGTCGTCCGCGCCGGCTGACCATGGCCTGCGGGCCGGCCGGTGGAGCGAAGTCGAGCAGTGACTCTGGCGCGCGCGCCGTGTCGTGCTGCATTTGTGTGCTGATCGGTGTTACGAGCATGGGGCGGGCCGGAGGAGTGGACACGATGACCAGTGCCTCGTGAGCCTATAGTATGTGGAGGCTGGATGGGATGCGCGCCGGGACGGGGACGGGAGCGCCGCGAAACGCAACATGCTTGGAGTGCTGCCACACTACGCGTGTCGACCCGACGATGTCCGCCCTGGCCTGATGTGACCCTGCGCGTGTCAGCCCTGGCAGAGTATGACCCTGACCTGGCGTGGCCCTGCGCCGCGTGCCGGCCCTGGCCGAGTATGTCCCTGACCTGACGCGGCCCTGCGTGTAGTACGCCCCTGACCGGACGCGGCCCTGCGTGTGCCGGCCCTGCCCGAGTATATCCCTAGCCTGATGTGGCTCTGCGTGTGCCGACCCTGGCCGAGTATGTCCCTGACCTAACGTGGCCCTATGCGTGCTGACCTTGGCCGGGTATGTCACTGACCTGACCTGGCCCTATGCGTGCTGACCTTGGCCGGGTGTGTCCCTGACCTGACCTGGCCCTGCTTGTGCCAACCCCGGCCGAGTATGACCCTGACCTGACGTGGCCCTACGCGTGCCAGCCTTGGCTGAGTATGTCTCCAGCTTGGCATGATGGCCTAGTGATTAGCGCGTCGGAGTCCCGTGTAGGGGGCCTGGGCTGGACTCTCAGTCGTCCGTCCGTGACCTGGTCGTGCGTGCGCCAGCGCCTGTAGCGGCCGGGGACAGATCCCGACCGTGCCTGACCCCGCTCCACGGGCCTGGGCGGCCCGTGACCTGACGTGACCGCTGACCCCGCGCCTGTGGCAGTGTCGATACCGATGAGCGGCGGTCTGAAGCTGGACCAGGGCGGCGGCCAGCACATGATCCTGACCACCAACGCCGGCGGCGAGGTGGTCGAGGAGGTCACCAAGAAGCGCGAGGTCCGCCTCTACAAGAACAGGTCAGTCCGCCGGCCGAGGCCGACCTTGCCGTCGCATCCGAGGGTGGTGACTGCGTGATCGTGGGACCCAGCTAGATGATGCTGTATTGGTGTGCTGGTCGAGTGTGCGTGCTTTGGCTGTGCTTTATGGCCTGATGAAAAATGGTGTTGTATTTTTTACGCCGTGTGAAGTTGGTTTCTTTGAGTTTGCTCATCTCTGGCCGTGCCGTCCCGCCGGCACCTTCCCAAGTTGTCACCGTGTTGACATGCAGCTTGTTGAATTCAAGATTTGAAGCTCATTCCTCACTCCTTTAGAGAGAGATCATGTGTCGCACCTGCTGTTTTGAGACCAGTTCTCAAATAGCAGTCATTGAGTACGGAACGCTTGTGGAGCTTCTTCGTGAAAGCCGTCTCACTGTGAACTGTTTCAAAGTAAATTGTGCACCATTCAGTTACGCATATCGAAGTACGTCATTTTTGCATTGGTCAGCAGTCATATACCTGGTTAACCGGCTTCTTCCAAGACACGATGCACGCTTTCCTATTCGGTGACCGTGTCATTACACACGTTACCATCACGTTGTGTTTGTGGATAACGCATGTGCATAGTGGGTTCGTGTGCATCTCAGCGACAGTAGCACTCATGCACGTGCAATACGAGCGCGAGAACGAGTAACCTCAGTCATTTGTGTTGCTTAAAGTTACGTGCTAGCATCAAGTTCAGACCTTTCACCCTCCATGTGCTCACCTTGTCATGCATCAGACAAAAAAGCAATCGAATGACGTGTACAACAACAACATAGGGAAAGTATTTCGTAGTATGTTATGCTGTAATGAAGTCCATGCTTTGTTCGCTTCAACAGTTCACGTCATTAAGTAGCGGTGTTTAGCGTTTCATTCAAAAGTGCGGTGGTATATCTGTAATTTTGGTTGAAAATTTCCAAGTGAATGAGGACGTTTGCCCCGTCTGTGCTTACCATGATTTGAGTCTTGCTCGGGATTGTAGGACTGTGAGTTACGAGGATGTTGGAACGCGTGTCAGTTGTCATGTTTCGCGCTAGTGCAAGTGGCCCGTCTAGAGTCGATATTCTAGTAGCCGTCCATAACGCGCCCCGTCATTCGCCAGGGAGGCGGCCCGTGAGTGTCGCCGGAAGAAGAAGGAGTACATCAAGTGTCTGGAGAGCCGGGTGGCCGTGCTGGAGAACCAGAACAAAGCTCTGATCGAGGAGCTGAAGTCGCTGAAGGAGCTGTACTGTCAGAAGAAGCTGCCCTGAGCGCAGCCGGCCACCTGGCTCGTCGGCGGCGCACTTTCGGTTAACGTGCGTGCTTTCGGGGTCGCTTGCTCCGGACGGGCGAGTCTCGTCTAGGACTGGGCGTCCCGGCCGAGGCGTCCGCAAGAGCTGGGACAGCCCCCCGGAGCCGATCGCGCTTCTCTTCACTAACCGTGGACACTGCGACGGGCAGAAGCGCCGCGTTCATTGGCCGAGCGGAAGCTACGCTTCTACTGGTGTGCGTGACATGGCGAGCGTGGTTTGGAGCGCCTCAGCCAGAGCTGACTGCTCATCGTTAAGTGTGGCCGCAGTGACGACATTGTTCATATTCGCGTGCGCGTTCCGTCGTGGCCGCACTCTCGCGTGTCCAGTGTGTCGCCTGGCTCATGCGCACGCCCCCCGCCCCCCCCCCCCCCCCCGGGCCGGTAGGGGCGCCGCTGGGCCTCATCAACACCGCCACGGCCGCTGGAGGCGAACGCAGGGCTGCCCGGGCCCGCCGGCCACTTTGTACCTGAACTGCTGTACGGACCGCATGGGAACAGGCGCGGGTACAGGATTGGTTGGGAGGAATATCACCGGCGGCTGGCTGCTATTACGCTTGCGCATTTTGCGTGGCGGCCGAAATTATTCGAAATGTCCCGTCTGATGAATTTGGTCCAATGATGAGAAGCTGACTGAAGAATCAAAACTGGTTGCGCTGATTTCGTTTCCCGCACCGTCCACTGGGGCGGCGTCCGTCGTGGAGCAGCACTCAGGCCTCGACTCCGGCGCTGACGCCCAGTAAGCCGTCCAGTGCCGCCGGCCCGTGCCCGGGCCGGCCGGCCGTTCAGTTTTCCGTGAGCCGGCGTGTGACGCTGTCGCCCGTCCGCCGGGTCCGGCGGCGGCGGCGCCCGGGCCGCGCCGCCGCCGCTGCCTTTCCTGACTTCGCGTCCGGCGCGGGTCCTCCCCTCCCCCACCCCCCGGCGCGCCTCCTGAGCGTCGCGAGCAGGCGGGCTCCGTCGGCTGCGGCCGGCACATATCGTGAGCAGACCATCCAGGGCTGTAGATGGGGAGGCGTATGTTGTGCGTTGGGCTCGTGTTGAGCGATGGAATCGTTTTCCGTGTCTTGGGTGACGTCTGGCGTTAGTTAGCCCACTTGTTCTTGAGAAGTGTGTGACATGACGTCACTTATGGTGCTTTGCGAATGAGTTGAGAAGCTTTCGACCGCATTTGGGCATATTTGGGTGGCAGCATTTCACACCCAATGCTCGGGTTTGAGGGCCCACGTCGTCCAGTTAAACGTGCACGCCCAGATTTGAGTGCAAGACGGATGCATGATAGTGATACAGGATACTCCGCTCGTCTCGACGTGGTCGTGGTAGAGTTTACTTTGGGTTGGAGCCATAGTTCTCTCGTCGTGGGTCAGTGGATCACAACTCGGGCGGAAGTGTGCATTTGTCTGTTTTTCATTCGCATGGAGGGCTGACAGTATTGTGGTCATGGGGGTTTATGCCGGCTGTCACATCCGAGCCAGGGCTGCGAGCGAACTGAAACCTTGGAATTTCAACGCGACTGAACTTTTTGAGCCTGTTTTCGCCAAATTGTGACTCATTACATGTAGCGCTATCAGCGTGTACATTTTGGACCGCTCCATCATGAAGTGCGATCTCGTGTTGCGGTTCTCCGAAAAATCAACCGACCGAAGCGCGGGAACCGCTGTCGGTTGAGCATCTGGGCGGGGGACGGGTGCCTAGCAAACGAGCGCCGCGCTCACAGGCATTGTTGGAGTGGATTCCTGTGTTGAAGTAGGTGATGACTGAACGAGTGTGCCATTGTTTGTGTTTTAGCTCTAGTTAAACTCGCCGAGACTAGCATCGCCGCGTCTGCAGCGTGAATTACGTATTTTTATCACATATGAACTTTGAAATGTTAATACAATTGTCATTGCTTGAAGAGAGCAGTTGGCAGAGGGGCTCGTCGCCCGGGGCGAAGAATTGTCCGAGACACGGCCGTCATCCAGACGAGGAGGGCCCGGGAGGCCTGCTTCCTTACGACCTGGGTGCGAAAAGACGAATTCTAGTCATAGCCTCTGCCGAACGTCGACAGAAACTTGACTGACTCGGGAACTTGGACGTGAGTTGGTAACTCGATGTGACAGCGAATAGGATGCCCGACTCGTCAGCTGCTTCAGCGCAGGGATCAAGTGCGGTTGGGGGTAGTGCGAGTGTTTCCCCCGTGAGTGTTGTATTCCGTAACTGCGCAGCTTCTCACGGCTTGATTACCTTTTTCGTTTCTTTGATTTAGGTACTCGAATAATTTGAATCATCTTAGTTGGGCCTCTCCGGTGTCAATTTGCTATCGGCTGTAGGACTTTGTTTCGGGGAAATTCGACGTTCCTGTGCGTGGCTCCGTGCGTGCATGCGTGCGTGGCTCCGTGCGTGCGTGCGTGCGTGGCTCCGTGCGTACGTGCGTGCGTGGCTCCGTACGTGCGTGCGTGCGTGGCTCCGTGCGTGCGTGTGTGCGTGGCTCCTGTTACGTTTTTTGACTTGGAGAACTTCAAAGCATAGCTGCATGGAACAATGGGTACCGATTTGGCGCACGCTACACGGACAGGTATGGTGTTAAGACCTGTATAGTACTGTTTTAGATTAAGTATGCAATAGACGGCAGCATGCAACCAGATACATGTGACGACAATTTGCCACAGTGTTTGAGGGGGAGTTTTTATAAAAAAAGGGGAGGTGACGCACGTTGTCGCGTCCCTTTTATGGAGCGCCAAGGACTCCATTGGCGATGTTTGCGCTCAAACAGCTGGTGTCATAGGCAAGGTAACACAATGTGACGAGACTGAGCCAAAGCTTCGGGAAATGTTTGTGTTGAGAGTCAAACGCACCAATCATGAAAGAAATGTATCCACGCGGAAAGTGGGCACAGGAATCTGACCCACCGCCTCTACGAGTAACTTCATCGTCTACGAATCCTTCATCAATTTATCATCGAATGGATGGCATGCACATGCCTAAACATGTGGGACACAAAGACAAAACAAGGTAATCATGGCTGAACAGTCGACCATTGTAAATTAGCAATACGACCATCCTGCATCTTCAGGTTTAGCAATTCATATTTTTGCAACGCCGTTAACGTTCAGTGAAGCCCTTCGTACAAGCCTGAGAGTCAGGCCTTCTGATATTTCCGTTGGCGTCTGAAAATAAAAGCGCATAGTCACCCAGAACACCCGAGGCGCAACTTCACATCGACGAGCACAATCATCGAGACATGAGCTATATAATCACCCGACCAGTGTGACACCAGCATCACCAGTCGCTGCTGGGAGATCTGCGTGAGACGCGCGGTCACGCAGCAACAGGGCCCGCTCAGGGCGCACCTCGTCTGCCTGGTGACCAGGCACTGTCTGCCGCGCGACCTCTCTTATGCATTGCTTTTTTCCTCGCTTTAAACTTGTCTCTTCGGTTGTCCTAAATGTCTTCTAAATGTTCGGTGTCTCGGTTGCTCCGAGGCCATCTCGCTATGGGAACCATCGATGACGAGCGGCGCCAGCGATGACGAGCGACGCCAGTGATCATAAGCGGCGCCAGTGATCACGAGCGGCGCCAGTGATCAAGAGCGGCGCCAGTGATTATGAGCGACTCCTGTTATCATGAGCGGCGTCAGTGATCATAAGCGGCGTCAGTGATCACGAGCAGCGCCAGTGATCACGAGCGGCGCCAGTGATCACGAGCGGCGTCAAATAACACGTGGCGCCGCTGATGGCACACTACACCACCTGTACAGTGTATGACGCTGCTGGTGATTCCGACACCACGTGCGGCACCACCGAAGACGTTTGGCACTAGTCAGACTTGCGACAACATTCGACGCGCGGCACCCCTGCAGACTTGCGGCACCACTGCTGACTTGCGGCAACACCGTTCACGTGCGGCGCCACACCACCGATAACGTGCGACGTCACTGATGATGTGCGTTGCCATTGGTGACGCGGGGCCCATCGATGACATGTACTGTCATGGGTCACGCACGGTGTGGTGACGAGCGACACCAACCATGGCGCGTGATGCCATTGATGACGTGCCGGTGTCGCCGCCCGCCGCTGCCGAGACCACCCGGTGCCCGCCGCTGCCGAGACCACCCGGTGCCTGACGCTGCCGAGGCCACCCGGTGCCTGACGCTGCCGAGGCCACCCGGTGCCCGACGCTGCCGAGGCCACCCGGTGCCTGACGCTGCCGAGACCACCCGGTGCCTGACGCTGCCGAGACCACCCGGTGCCTGACGCTGCCGAGACCACCCGGTGCCCACCGGCCGACTCGTTATTTGCCTTCGTAGGACGGGTTCATGTGTGTGGTCGTGGCCTGCTTGAAAAGCGGATTCTCCCCCTGCAGAACAAAGGCCAGCTCCGGTCAGCCGGTCCCGAGCGTGATGACCGCATCACAGTCCAAACACAGAGGCCAGCTCCGGCCCTTGCGCCATGCCTTCTCCCCCGCTCGCCCAATGCACGCATACAGTATCGCCAGTGAGGACAGCTGTGATCGGCATGTTACGGCTCATAATACGGTCTCCAGTAGTCACGGGTCCGAGTCAGAGGTGCCCAGCAGTCATGGGTCCAAGTCAAAGTCCCCAGCAGTCACGGGCCCGATTCAGAGGTCCCCAGTAGTCACGGGTCCGAGTCAGAGGTCCCCAGCAGTCGCGGGTCTGAGTCAGAGGCCTTGGCTCCGAGCGCGAGTCCGAACTACGTGATGAGTCCTAGATAAAATTCACGGATCATGAGTCCGAGTCTGAGTCTTTGGAGACCGGGTCCGTGTCCAACTGCGAGTCTTTGCCCGAGAACTTGAGGCTTGAGTCTGAGTTCATTAGTTGATTTAGAAATTGCGCACGATAGAGATAGTTTCATCCAAAATGTTCAGGGGTGCGGCCCGCTAAAGGTGTCGAGTAAGCATTGGAATAGTTAGCGATTTGAATTGTACAGAAATGCTGATGGCCTTCCGCCAAGTTGCATGCGATGATATCAAATTTTACGCAAGCTATTTTGACCCAGTTAAACCCAGCCAAACTTCAACGAGCCCAATCAAAGGCAGCCGACCTCAACATCAGCCACTCGACCCAGCACAGGCGATATAAAGGATGTTGCTACCTGCAATGTGCTCTATAAGAAACTACCTCTTCGACTTTACGAATGTTGCCATTAAGATAAGTCTTTCCAATGACTCATATGAGAGTGAAGTTTGGTCCGAAACCCAGATTTCTGGATCCGCATGTTTGGGACCAATGGGCAGGCCTGGTAACTGAGTCTCTCTGAGTACGTGTCCCCGGTTTGTTTCTCAAATTGGTGAGTCAGAGCTCAGTTCATCTCCCGAATGAGTCAGTCAACCTGAATCGAGTCACCCAAAGCTGGGAGCGCGAGTCCGGCCGGACTCAGACCATGCCCGGCCTGTGCTTGACTCGGCCGGGCGACCCCGACCACCTGCGGGGCCGCGGTCAGGGGTGCCGACTCAGAACGGCGGTCTCCGGCGTTGCCCGTGCCGCTGGGTCGCTCCGCGCTCACCGTGTCCCACTTGGCCGTCTGGCGCTCGGCTTCCCACTTGGAGTACTCGCGGCGATCGTGGACGGTCGTCACCAGCTTCCAGAGCAGGAGTGTGGCCAGGCCGACCGCGACGATGGCGGCGATCAGTGGCAGCACGATCACTGTCGGCGGAGATCGCGTTTGGCCAGGGTCAGAGTCGGTTCAGAGCCGGCAGGGATAAGAGCCTGAGGGCATTAGAGTCGACACGGCGGCGGTCTGGTTAAGGAAGGGCCAGCGTTCAGATCTCTGCAGGCAACGATCAGAGTCAACAGAGAGGATAATGCATAGTGCGTGAGTCAGCTGGGATCAGCGAGGATCACTGCCGGCAAAGATCGGTAGTCAGCATGGATCACGGTCGGAAGGGATGAGAGTCAAAAAGCGATCGTGGTCAGACAGGATCATAATCGGGGGGGGGGGGGGGGGGGGGGGGGTAAAGACCAACGCGAATCAGAGCCAGAAAGAATCGGAGTTGAAAGAAATCGAGGACGGCAGTGATCAGAGTCAGCATGGATCAGGGTCCGGTGTGGATCAGAGTCAGCAGAGATGAAAATCAGAGCGGATCAGAGTCAGCGTGATGCCTCCGACCCACGATCACAGCCGGGATAAGCGAAAGCCGCGTCCAAAATTACCAGCGTTGAAGTCAGCTGGGATCAGAGTTGACACTGCTGGCCAGCAGGGCTCACAGTTCGACAATGTCCGTAGTCGACAGGGGTCAGTGAAGTATCCGCACGAGCCGTGTACATCAAAATCACCAATGTGCGTGGCGACGACAGAATTAGGATCCAGCTTAACAGGGACCACCGTCACCACCACACTCGAGCCAACAGGATACAGGTCAAACGGATCACAGGACAGCGCTTGTCAGCACAGATCAGCGTGTGGGGATGAAAAGGAGCAGGGCAGCGCTTGTCAGCACAGATCAGCGTGTGGGGATGAAAGGGAGCAGGGCAGCGCTTGTCAGCACAGATCAGCGTGTGGGGATGAAAGGGAGCAGGGCAGCGCTTGTCAGCACAGATCAGCGTGTGGGGATGAAAGGGAGCAGGGCAGCGCTTGTCAGCACAGATCAGCGTGTGGGGACGAAAGGGAGCAGGGCAGCGCTTGTCAGCACAGATCAGCGTGTGGGGATGAAAGGGAGCAGGACAGCGCTTGTCAGCACAGATCAGCGTGTGGGGATGAAAGGGAGCAGGGCAGCGCTTGTCAGTAAACATCAGTGTGTGTGCATCGGTGTGTGGCTGCGGAAGGGAAGAGAGGCAGCGCTCGTCAGTACAGATAAACGTGCTGGGATGGAAGGGAAGAGGGACAACTGCCACGGTGTGTTCGTGGGCAGCGAGGGCTCGTCTCTACAGAGACAGCTTGCAACCCAGGCATCGACTATGTATGCGGCACTGTAACTAGTCGGATGGGGCTGACTCTGACTGGCAGGTACATCCACGGCCCTGAATCGCTGCAAACTGCACGTGTGAAATAATGGGTCATCGCACGTGTCGGACGTCCATTGCCGTCAACAACCAGCACAGTCTCCAAACGATTCTCCGTACACGGGAAAAGCCCGGGAGTTCCCGAATTGGTGACAGAGGAAGGTCTGTACACCCACTGGGCGGTGACAAGGGACGGTCAGCATATCCACCGAGAGGTGACAGGGGGGCCTGCATTTACATTGAACAATCACAGGGACAGCCTGTAAACCCACTGAGCACGTTGATGGCCGCCGGACACTGCTTGGTTTCCTGTACGCGGATGGTGGGCGTGTTGAGCTGGTTGTAGAAGTAGATGAACCTGTAGCGGCAGTTAGCCTCGTCGCTGAACGTGCAGAGTCGCTCCTCAGGGGACGACACTGGCGGCGGGACGGTGCAAGGCGTCAGAGGCCGGTCCGGGCAGCGGGGCACGACAGAGGCCGGTCCGGGCAGCTGGGCACGACTGAAGCCGGTCCGGGCAGGGAGACACGACTGAGGCTGGTCCGGGCAGTGGGCAAGACAGAGGCCGGTCCGGGCAGCGGAGCACGACTGAGGCCAGGTCCGGGCAGCGGGGCACGACAGAGGCCGGTCCGGGCAGCAGAGCACGACTGAGGCCGGTCCGGGCAGCGGGGCACGACTGAGGCCGGTCCGGGCAGTGGGGCACGACTGAGGCCGGTCCGGGCAGTGGGGCACGACTGAGGCCGGTCCGGGCAGCGGGGCACGACAGATGCCGGAGTGGCGGCGCGGCCTAGGTGAGGTAAGGTAGGTAAAAAACGACACTCAGCAGACACAAATCACAACAAATCAAAGCACACAACCATAAGCATACACATGCACACGGAGCAGGCTATTTAAAGATTCAAAAAGTCACCACTACGCCTACTACTAAACCACCACTCGCGTTTCAAATCACCGACATGTCGCGTAAGTCTGTGAGCAGTGGATCGCACATCAGTGCAGTGCTTAACAAAAAGCTCTGCCTGCCTGCTTCCGTCCTTGCACGTGGAAGAGCTAGATCAGTGTTCTGGCGAGTGTGGCAGGCACGGCGTTCTGAGTTGGCTTGGAAGTATGAGGCGAGACGTTGGGGTTCGCGAAAACAGATGCGACGGTATTGCGCATTTTGTGGAAAATTCAGAGCGCGGCCCGTGCGCTTGGCCCGCAGAGGGTTAGCCGAAGTCAACCGACACGTCTAATATTTGCGGTGAAAGTTGAGCCAATGAGCAATGACACGACTTGCAGACCTCAGTTTGGAGTTTCTCGAGGCGTCCCTGTCTCGTTTTTTTCCGGACCATTAGCAGAAGGCCCATGCGGTTAAAGATGTGCGTGGTGGCCAATGGATTAATTAACAAGCAGAGGTCGCACCCACTGATCAGCCACCTTTGTCAGCTTTCGAATAAATTTTTATCGCAAAAAAAAACAGTAAGGAGAAGGTGATCCGATGGCCCAACTGGCCGGGCTGCTGAGCATATTATTACACTGGTCATCGATGGTAGATACATGGGAATCTTAGGTGACAGCATTGTCGAGAACCATACATCATGATTTTTCACCGTGGGGCTCTCACGCATTATGTTCTCACGGAGCCGACTGCAGCACTGGGTCATGTCACGAGAATGCTGACGGGAGCCAAAATCAATGAGCCAAAATTTGCTTCACCTTCTTCCAAAACTTGGCAGCGGAAGCAGGCGTGTAAAGATCTTAAAACCTTTTTATGACAGCAATGAATCGTGGCAGGAGTTTTTCAAGAACTCGAACCTCTGGCGTCGTCATCTCGTACTGTACCAGTCGTTAGCATACTGAGCTACATGGACATTGGGGGCGTGGTGAGATGGATCCTATACAAATACCCAGAAGGTCCGACGGTGCTGACCCGGTGCTGGGGAGCCCTCCTAGCTCTCACCTTCCACCACGTCTGTCCGGTTGATGAGCAGGTGAGAGCAGTTGCAGTTGCCCTGCAGGTCACCACTGTCGAAAGCCACGCACTCAACGCAGGCTCTGTATTCGTTGCACTTGCCCTGGCACGTCTGAAAGGGTACGCGATCAGATCGCGCTCAGCTGAAGACCAGACGCGCGCTCAGCTGAAGACCACACGCACGCTCAGCTGAAGACCAGATTGCGCTCAGCTGACGACAAGACTCGCGCTCAGCTGAAGACCACACGCACGCTCAGCTGAAGACCACACGCACGCTCAGCTGAAGACCAGATCGTGCTCAGCTGACGACAAGACGCGCGCTCAGCTGAAGACCACACGCACGCTCAGCTGAAGACCAGACGCGCGCTCAGCTGACGACAAGACGCGCGCTCAGCTGAAGACCACTCGCGCGCTCAGCTGAAGACCACTCGCGCGCTCAGCTGAAGACCAGACGCGCGCTCAGCTGACGACAAGACGCGCGCTCAGCTGAAGATCAGACGCGCGCTCAGCTGAAGATCAGATCGCGCTCAGCTGACGGCAAGACGCGCGCTCAGCTGAAGACCACACGCACGCTCAGCTGAAGACCAGGCCCGCGCTCAGCTGAAGACCACACGCGTGCTGTCCTGCACGCCGACAGGCAGTGGCTGGGATGCGGTCATGGAAGCCATTGAGGTACGCCGCAGCGAGGGTCAAATGTTCAATCCTGGCGTCGAGGCTCGTGTTCAAGCACGCATGTATTTCAACGCAGAAATTTAGCGCGGTTACATGGGCTTTGCTGCTGTCAAACGTGGGGAGACATGGGTGTTTTGGGGAACTTCCTTTCATGCAGATCCAGCGACGTTATGTTTAATTGTACGAACCCGGGTGGGCCAAGTATACATATGCGTAATTACTGCAGACTTCGCATGCATCTGTACGTCTTGATTTACTAACGCATCAAGAGTTGGGATGTCACTTTTCGGCCCTTATTTGGGAGAGGCTCCCATAGCACCTAAGTCTTCAAGGAATTTGCCGTGCCGTAAGAGAAAGAGAAAGAGGGAGAGGGAGGGAAAAAAGGGAAAGAGAGAGAGAGAGAGAGAGAGAGAGAGAGAGAGAGAGAGAGAGAGAGAGAGAGAGAGAGAGAGAGAGAGAGAGGGAGAGAGAGAGAGAGAGAGAGAGAGAGAGAGAGAGAGAGAGAGAGAGAGAGAGAGAGAGAGAGAGAGAGAGAGAGAGAGAGAGAGAGAGAGAGAGAGAGAGAGAGAGAGAGAGAGAGAGAGAGAGAGAGAGAGAGAGAGAGAGAGAGAGAGAGAGAGAGAGAGAGAGAGAGAGAGAGAGAGAGAGAGAGAGAGAGAGAGAGAGAGGGAGAGAGAGAGAGAGCTTAGCGCATTTACTACGTGAAAAATGGATTATATTCGAAATCGGGTCAGATCAGGTACTGCCACTGTCATTGTGACATTTCCTGCACTTCCCTCAAATGCTTGCCCCCTTTCATTTGGTACCATATTGTCTCTGAGTGACCGTGTGGGCTCGGAGACCTCTGCCTGGCGGTCTGTCAGGCTTAGCTGACGGTCTCTGAGTGACCACGTGGGCTCAGAGACCTCTGCCTGGCGGTCTGTCAGGCTTAGCTGACGGTCTTGAGTGGCCGCGGGGCTCGGAGACCTCTGCCTGACGGTCTGTCAAGCTTAGCTGACGGTCTCTGGGTGACCACGTGGGCTCTGAGACCTCTGCCTGGCGGTCTGTCAGACCTAGCTGACGGTCTCTGAGTGACCACGTGGGCTCGGAGACCTCTGCCTGGCGGTCTGTCAGGCCTAGCTGACGGTCTCTGAGTGACCGCATGGGCTCGGAGACCTCTGCCTGGCGGTCTGTCAGGCTTAGCTGACGGTCTCTGAGTGACCACGTGGGCTCAGAGACCTCTGCCTGGCGGTCTGTCAGGCTTAGCTGACGGTCTCTGAGTGACCACGTGGGCTCGGAGACCTCTGCCTGGCGGTCTGTCAGACCTAGCTGACGGTCTCTGAGTGACCACGTGGGCTCGGAGACCTCTGCCTGGCGGTCTGTCAGACCTAGCTGACGGTCTCTGAGTGACCATGTGGGTGTGTGAATCTCACCGGACAGTCCTCGCAGTACCGGCCGACGAACAGGCCCGACTCGCCCTCGTCACAGACACACTTGCCACACTCGCACAGACCGTTGCCTGAGCAGGGCTTCGTGTCACCTGTGTGTCAGGCAGAGTGCGCCGTCGGTATTGACATAGCACAGCCACTGCTGATATCTTAACACGCAGCATCACAACCGCGGTATCATTAGCACTTGGACTGTAAGCAAGCATTGGCATAGTTACAACAAAACGGCGTAGTTAGCAAGCGAAATTGTTCAAGGCACAAAACGCACAATTTTATAACGGCAAGTTAAGCAACCGGCGTTTCATACACGGGTAGGTATTGAGGAACCAGTCTTGACAGCACGGCAGTGCATTCCATTGCCGTCATGGAAGAGCAAATTAACACATTGGTGTCTACGGTTGAATCCCATGTTAGCAGTTGTGGTGTGTACGTGAGCCAAGCTATGGTGCAACACATTTAAAAAGGGGCAAGAGCACAAATTGTGATTCGTTCTTTTTCCTGCAGTTTGGGGTTAGGTGCCATGTTTCGGACGCCAGGAATGAGCCGATAGAGACATCCAACAGTTGATCCCCGTACAAATAGCTGTGAATCGACCTATTTGGCCGAAAAACAATCTCAGTACCTTCTTGTACAAGATCTGCAATTGTCCGGGGTAAGTCGATGTCGACATCATAAAATTGCACTCGGAACAGGAGCCGCAGAGCCTCCGCAGACCGACATGCCAGCATTCTGATTTATCGTGGGAGTTGAAGAGAACTATTTTGCATGCTTTGCGTTTGCTGCAAGATGTTGGTCTGAGAACCTCCGAGAGATGTCATGAACGTTAGGTCACCGTTTGAGGCTACAACAGGAGTGGGCACTGGAGCGCCGTTTTTTTCTACCCTTTCCACGAAATGCATCTTATGCTGCGACGGCGTCTACAGCCGGACGTTCATGCAGCACGCTTCAAGAGAGAAAGCATGAATTTGGAGTCACCAATGTCTCGGGTGTTCAAGGTTGAATGTCCATATGCCGAAAACCAGGGCAATAACCGACACCCAATTGAGATGACAGAGTGTTTCAGAAATTCTAGCTTTCAGAAAGTTGTCGATGGGTTGGTCATGGAAAGCGCGTTCGTTGTTATGCTTGCTACCGCTCGAGAATCAGCTGACACTTCCGCTAGAAAACGTTTTCCGACAGTGAGCCGTTCTGCAGTCGTGACCCCGCATGCTCTCCCCGCATGGAGAGAGACTCGTCACGTGACGAGCCGTTCTTCCGGTTGTGTCCCGCACCCTCCTCTCCCGACGAGAGCTGTTCTCCCGGGCGCGTCCCCGCGCCGCCCGCCCCCGCCCCCGACGAGAGCCGCTTTTCCGGGTGTGTGCTCCTCCCCTCCCCCGACGAGAGCCTCTCTTTCGGGTGTCTCTCCGTGCCGCCGCCCCCCCCCCCCCCACCCCCACCCGTCCCGGACGAGACCCGCTGTTCCGGTTGTGTCCCCCTTCCCCCTCCCGCGACGAGCCTGGTGCGACGCAGGTGGCGTTGCCGGCGGGGCACTGGCAGGCGCCGCCAGTCCAGCTGGGTCGGCACTCGCAGCTGCCGCACACACAGCTTCCGTGGTCGGGGCCCGAGCAGAGCAGCTTCTCGTGACGGTCGCACGAGAAGTTGTCGCACTGGCAGAACTCGCCCGTCACCACCTGGAGGCAAATAGCGCTGCTGGTGATGGGTCAGATGGCAGCAGCTGACAGGAATTAGCGACCGGGCCGCAACCAAGGAGTGCACATGTGCCGCTGTTTTGCTAGTCGATGGAGCACGGCTGCTTGGGTGGTCTGTACATGATTAAGGTCTGTATGGGAGCATGGGTGACTGTCACTGGCGATCCATATCAAATCCCTCGATTTCCGTTTTGTGAAACGATCACTTTGTCGATCAGTGTTAAACCAACAAACGTGTCCTCAAGATGGCACCGTTTGCCTCACACTAGTCCAACCCCACCGTGATCTGTACCAGCCTCCAACGTCAAGCACTGCCGGCGACTCCCCCGCACGTTCGCCACCAGTCACCTGGCACGAGCTCACCTCCTGCGGGTTGGACCTTTCGAAGCACTGACACTGGCCGCAGACGCACTCTCCGCGGCCCTGGCAGGTGTCGCCGGTGTCTCCGGCCAGGCGGCAGCGGTCGTCGCCCCGCCGACCGCCCCCGTCGCGCTGCGAGCACTCGCACAGCGCGCCGAAGTGCTCCTCGTCGCACGCGCACAGACCGCACCGCAGCGAGCCGTGGTTGTTGCACTCGGGGACCGGCGGCTGTCGGCAAGCGAACCGTCAGCAGGGCAGGAGGGCCGGGCACCCGTCAGCAGGGCAGGAGGGTCGGGCACCCGTCAGCAGGGCAGGAGGGTCGGGCACCCGTCAGCAGGGCAGGAGGGCCGGGCACCCGTCAGCAGGGCAGGCGTGCCGGGCACCCGTCAGCAGGGCAGGAGGGTCGGGCACCCGTCAGCAGGGCAAGAGGGCCGGGCGGCCGTCAGCAGGGCAGGCGGGCCGGGAACCCATCAGCAGGACAGGAGGACCGGGGACCCGTCAGCAGTGCAGGAGGGCCGGGCACCCGTCAGCACGGCAGGAGGGCCGGGCACCCGTCAGCAGGGCAGGCGGGCCGGGCGCCCGTCAGCACAGCCGACAGGTGTGCTCCCGGCCGCGACGAGGGGAGACGCCGACTCACCTCACGCCTCGTCATAACGGGGTGCAGTAAGAGCCCCGATTTGCTTGCAAGGGATTCCTGAAACATCGGCTCAAACGACTGTGTTTCGCATCTACGAGCGGTATCAAAACTGAGAATGTCTGATCGCAGTGTGCAAACGCATACTCATTGACATGTCCTTATTGGACCCCAAGCACTCTAATTCCTAACCCTAGAAGCAACTAGTCTTGGCTACATTTTGCTTCGTCTTTGTGTCAGGTGCAGGCAGGGGCGGCATGATGTTCAGGTCCACGAATTTTGAGTTGGGGACAGGATTTTTCACCAGGCCTTCTGGACAATTAGACCTTCTCACAGGGGGGGGGGGGGGGGGGGTTCCTGCGCAGTGTCGTATTCAAGAGGGTCGGTCATGTGTCCGAGGGCATGAATCCCTTTATCAAACTGTTCCATGCATCACATTTAAGCAAATAAATTTTGATAGCTAAAAATCCAGAACGGGGCCTTCTGATTGTTAAGCAAAGGGGCTCGTCAGCCTAAATCAGGACCTTCTGCTCTAGGAGGGGGACTCCCGATGCACAGGGCAGGGACACAGGCACAGGCGCCTTTTATTCCAGAACAGGATTTTTCCGATTCGCGGAGGAAGCCTCCAAATCCATCCCAAAGGCCTCGTTATCCCAAAACAGGACATACTTGTCCTGAGCCGCGGCCATGTGATATATGAGAGAGCACTCCTGTTCCAAAATAGGACCCCCTGAATAAAGGGGGTGCCTCCTACCCAGGACAGGAGCCTTCCAGTCTGTAACAGCGGCCTCCCGAGCCAGCAAAAGGCCCTCTTTAACACAATATTTTACCTCCTTTTCTAGAGCATTGGCTAAGATCGGCCGCTAACTTATTGATAAAGGTAACCTCATGATCCAGAAAATGTGTCTCTTCGTGCAGCAAAGTTCGTGAGACCGATTTTTTTTGCTCACTAGCTGTGCTATGTAAACCTCTTTGATTCAAATTTAGTACCCTACGGGTAGCTTCAATATCTTTGGTTCTGAAAGGGGGCCTTTCAACCTTTTTTCGGAGAGCGGGGCCAAAAACATACTCCTGCCCCCATGCTTGTTCCCCGCACCCACCCCCCCCCCCTTCCCGGTTGTTGCCCGGCCCCTCAGTGCAGGCCGATCCAGGATTTCCCCGGAGGGAGAGGTCAACTTCTTCAGGAATGGCCATCTGTTCTGCGAAAATCCCCCAGGAGGCACTACAGATCTCTCATGTGTGCGCATGCGTAGTAAACTGTACAAAATGAGCCAAGAGCCAGCGTTGTCCGTTTCGCCCAGCTCCTGCTGACATGACCCAGCTGGGTGGAAACGCAATTGCAGCCGTCCATGTGTGTCAGCAGCCGGTGTACGCGCGTTGGCAACCTGTGTCCGTGCATCGACAGTCTGTGTCCGTATGTCGGCGGCCTGTGTCCGTGTGTCGACAGCCGGTGTCGGCATGTCGGCCTGTGTCCGTGCGTCGACAGCCTGTGTCCGTGCATCGACAGTCTGTGTCCGTATGTCGGCGGCCTGTGTCCGTGTGTCGACAGCCGGTGTCGGCATGTCGGCGGCCTGTGTCCGTGTGTCGACAGCCTGTGTCCGTGTGTCGGTAGGCGGTGTGCCAAGGTCGGAGGCCTGTTTCCGTGTGTCGGCGGCCTGTGTCCGTGTGTCGACAGCCTGTGTCCGTATGTCGGCGGCCTGTGTCCGTGTGTCGGCAGCCTGTGTCCGTGTGTCGACAGCCTGTGTCCGTGTGTCGACAGCCTGTGTCCGTATGTCGGCGGCCTGTGTACGTGTGTCGGCAGACGGTGTGCAAGGGTCGGAGACCTGTGTCCGTGTGTCCACAGCCTGTGTCCGTGTGTCGGCAGCCTATGTCCGTCCGCGTCCGTGTGCCGGCACCAGGCGCGGGCCCGTACCAGGTCGGCGGGACCGGCGCGCTCACAGTCGCACTGGCACTGCTTGGTCAGATGGATCACCAGCGACTCGTTCAGGCCCGTCGGCCGAATCTCCACGACGCTCTCCCACTGCGCCGGGTCCGCGGGGCACTTGACCAGCTGCAACAGACGATGGGCACTTGGATGACTGCGCCAAGAGATGACGCCCGCTCAAACCGGACGACAGAGCGGCGCTGAAGAGGCTGACGCCTGCAGGAGGACGCTCGACCACATCAACAGATTGTTGGACCGACACATGCACATTTTGGACGATAAAAGAGCTTGTTGCACCAACATGTACGGTAGTCAGCATCGATTAATGTGTTTGAAAATATCATCCAGCAACAGTACCCTCTACCACGCGCCAGGATGGGCAAATGACTGTAAATGACACCAAACTAAACAGCGTGCTCTGGCCTTTCAGAACTCTGTCATATTGATGACAAAAGCTGAGCGTCGAAATCATGTTCGGTCCAGCTCAGTTCATCTAATCAGACGTGATTACCACGATTTTCCCGTGCGCAGGCCAAATGCAGGTCATTCTTTGGACATGCTTCAGTAAAACCGACTAATTCATCACAAATGAATGTCATGTACCATTTGAGTTGAACGTTTACAAACTGACCTCACATCACCTTTGAAGGCGATCTGGCATCACCTTGCATAAGCCGACTGACTCTGACTGACAAAGGATTAAACCATTTGACGATCTGCATCGAAACGACCCGTAATGGGAAAGTAAACTATGAATAAATGCACGGAGAAGCAAGCGTGTCCGTGTGAGCATTCACATGTGACTTTATGACTCGATTAATTGACCTCACATTGACATTGTTCCTTCCCTCAGAAAGTCCCATATTGCCAGTCTCTTGCCACGCGAACAAGAATCCAGCGGATCCCGTCGGGATCCCGTTGGGTTCTCACGCGTCTCACTGCTGTGCTCACTCACTGCTCTCACGCTCTCGCCGTCCGTCTACAGCAGCTACGTGCACTGCACGGCAGCGAAGACGTCGGCACACCGGAGACGAGCCAACGGAGAAACCTCCCCAGTCTCTCCTCCCGGGACAAGGCAGGACGGAGGCGTGCATGGATAAGTCGACCCCACGAGGCGAATTTGAAACTCGTGAGAGTGGAAGGCGTGAACGCACTCCCGCACCTCCCGGACGTAGGGCACGGTCCGCGTCGGCGGCGGGCAGCGGGGCCGGGCAGTGGTGGCTGAGCGCCGCTGACCAGGGCGGCGGCGGGCAGCGAGGCCGGCCAGTGGCGATTGAGCGCCGCTGGCCAGGGCGGCGGCGGGCAGCGAGGCCGGCCAGTGGTGATTGAGCGCCGCTGGCCAGGGCGGCGGCGGGCAGCGGGGCCGGGCAGTGGTGGCTGAGCGCCGCTGGCCAGGGCGGCAGCACTCACCTCCACCGTGACGGTGAAGTCGGCGGCACTTACCTCCACCGTGACGGTGAAGTTGACCCGCTGGCCGATCTTGAGCCCGTCGCAGCGGTTGGTCTCCTCGGGCGCGCCGGTGCCGAGGCACGCCGAGTGGTACCGGATCCGCACGAAGTCCGTCGAATTGTCCTTCAGCTCAACAAACGACGTGATAGCCTGCAGCGTGACGGCGTCAGTCGTCACCCCATTGGTCACCGGTGGAAGTGGCAGGGGAGTATTCAAGATTTTCCAATGTAGGGGTGGGGGCGGAACTCATGAAATTCCGCTGAAATTTATTGTATGCCATAAAACATTATTATCTGTTCTCGATCTGCTCACTTTTACGTGTTCAAATGGAATGTGCCTTAGTCATGTAAATATCGATGCACGCCACAGGTTTAGCTGGGGGCATGTTCCCTGGGATCTCCTGTGCGCGCACGCTCCTGTGAATGGGCCCTGGTGTTGTTCGCGGAAAGCGAACCGCGAGGCGGAGATCTCGGATTTCGAGTGATAGGGCACAGCTCCAAAGTCGTGATCCCGGGCCAAGCTTCTCTTAGTTGCGGTCCTTAATACGCGACAAACCAAATTAGATCACGAGTCCGAAGTCGTTGACCGTAAAATGCATAAATCTAGTCACCGACAGCGAGCCAATGGTTGCATTTCGCACGTTGTTCTTTGTGAAGAGACAGCTGTTCGCCACTTGACAATAGGCCGGCCCTGCGTTAAACGGCCACCGGGGTCGAGGCTTCCGAGCATGACACTCAGATGTCGGTTCAATCCGACCTAGCGTATGACACTCAGATGTCGGTTCAATCCGACCTAGCGTATGACACTCAGATGTCGGTTCAATCCGACCTAGCGTATGACACTCAGATGTCGGTTCGATCCGACCTAGCGTATGACACTCAGATGTCGGTTCAATCCGACCTAGCGTATGACACTCAGCTGTCCGTTCAATCCGACCTAGCGTATGACACTCAGATGTCGGTTCAACCCGACCTAGCGTATGACACTCAGATGTCGGTTCAACCCGACCCAGCGTATGACACTCAGATGTCGGTTCCACCCGACCTAGCGTATGCCACTCGAGTGTCGGTTCAACCCGACCTGGCGTATGACACTCAGATGTCGGTTCAATCCGACCTAGCGTATGACACTCAGATGTCGGTTCAATCCGACCTAGCGTATGACACTCAGATGTCGGTTCAACCCGATCTAGTCCATGACACTCAGATCTCGGCTCAACCCGAACTAGTCCTAGATCACTCGAAAGGGAACGGTGGGTACAGGGCCACCGTAAGGGTGCGGCACGTACGTCGTGCTGCTCCTTGACCAGCTGAACCACGTTGGAGGAGTCGCTGGAGAGTGTGCCGGCCGAGCTCGCCTCGATGTGCTGGCTCAGCATGTCGTACGCGGAGCGCTGCTCCGACGTCACCGCGAATATGATGTTGATGCTGTTCTGCTTCACCTGCAGGAGATACGGAAACTCCGCCTGCGTTGACGGGCGCGGAGACCACGTGGAGATCCTCATGCAGACCTCTCCAGAATGACTGGCTGGCTTCCAGAATGTTTGCCGCAATGAATGTAAGAAACAATCGTTAAGTTTTCTTCAATATATCTATGAACAAGCCTTTACACTAGTGCAGGGTCGATGACCTCATTAGCAATGGCAATGACATAACTTGACATACATAACATTACATGCTAAACTTCCAATAACAGCAGTGTAAGCATGCACACAGAATACACCCTGAGCTGACGAATAAGTTTTCATGTAGGAGCTTAGGCCGATTACCTTCTGATTGATTTGCGACACGCTGGGATAGTCGAGCTTGTCTGAGTGGGTGTAGAATCCCTTCTCGTCCAAGTGACACTCGCCATCGTTCGGCTCAACCACGCCTCCCAGCTGAAAACAACGGGAAGATCCAGGTCGGCGACGGCCGGACGCCTGCCTCCAGCTACGAGTCGGTCCACAAGGGCAGCGTAGTGGCACTGCTGCTCGTGCTGGCCGCCGCAAGTCAGCGGTCGCGAGCGGCGAGCCGCAGAAACACATGGTCAGTCCAGTCCTGGGACACGCAGGAAAACTAACCAACAGAGAGCAAACGGACATCCCACGTCCAGGCACACCAAACACCCCAGGGCTAGACAGTATCACCGCGAAGAGGTCCGACACCGACTGCTTGCCGTCCCCAGCGAAGCGTGTTCACCACGGGCTGTCTGCTTGTGTCTGCCTCCGCCTGTGCGTGCGTGGGGGTCTACCCAGCCGCCCTCAGCGTAGTCACCGTCGCCACGGCACGCCCCCTGTCGCTCTGGCTGACCTTGCCGCCGCCCTGGCAATCCTTGCCGTCACCCTGGTAAACCTTGCCGTCGCCCTGGCTAACCTTGCCGTCGCCCTGGTAAACCCTGCCGTCGCCCTGGCTAACCTTGCCGTCGCCCTGGCAAACACTGCCGTCGCCCTCGCAAACCTTGGCGTCGCCCTGGCAAACCCTGCCGTCGCCCTGGCTAACCTTGCCGTCGCCCCGGCAGACCTTGCCGTCGCCCTGGCAAACCTTGCCGTCGCCCTGGCAAACCCTGCCGTTGCCTGGCTGACCTTGCCGTCGCCGGCGTAGTGGGAGCCGGCGTCGGTGGAGAAGACCAGCAGGCGGCGCGCGCTGCTCCGCCAGCCGATCTGCTGTTTGCATACGATGGCCTGCATGATGGCGTCGAAGCCGCCCTCGGGGAAATCCAGGTTTCCCGACACCTTGGCACTCATCACGTTTTCCTGACGAGGAACGGAACGAACGGACAAGTCAGACCATTCACAGGCAGAGATGGTTCCGGACAGACAGACAGTGCCGAATCGTTCTACCGATGCGATGCTGCCTTGACTTGATCGAACGTTGTGCACCGTGAGAATGCACTCTAAAGTCGATGATGCCGCAGCAGCTGTGTTGGCCTGTTCAGCTTTATCTGGACTGCGCGGGTGGTCACGCACGGTCTCCGGGAGCCCATCACTGCAAAACGTACAGTCTCCCAGAGCCGATCACTGCAAGACGCACAGTCTTTGATTGAGAGCCGATCACTGGAAAACGTACAGTCTCCGAGAACCGATCACTGCAAGACATACAGTTTCCGGGAGCTGATCACCACAAAACGCACAGTCTCCGAGAGCCGATCACTGCAAGACGTAGTCTCCGAGAGCCGATCACTGCAAAACGTACAGTCTCCGGGAGCCGATCACTGCAAAACGTACAGTTTCCGGGAGCTGATCACTGCAAAACGTACAGTTTCCGGGACCCGATCACTGCAAAACGTGTAGCCTGTCGATGAGGGATTTCTCTGTGTCATGCCGAGTGTCCGAATCGCCATGACTACTCCGTGCTGCTCGCCGCAAAGGCCGATCAAACCGCACACAGGAGGCACCGTCTTGCCTCGGCAACACATCTGTCAACAATCATGCGGCGATGGGCGCCCAGCCAGCCGGCAAGAGATAGATTGAAAAGCACACGGGGACGACCGAGTGTAAGTCTAGCGCCGAGTTACCTTCGCTCGGACGAGTGAGCGCGACTCACCGCGAACGAGTCGATGTCGGTCGTCAGCGGCAGGGAGTTGTGGAAGCCGTAGGGGGCGGTGCAGTTGTCACACGGATGCTCCAGACTGTAGACACACAGACACAGTCCGCCGGGTTAGTACAGCGTTCGCAGCCAACGTGGAAATGCCCGCAGTGCTTGTCAAATTTCTCTGCTGGCGCATCGTTACTGGTCTAGCTTGTGCATTCGGTCAAAAGCGCTCATTATTGCGCCGGCGGTTTTCGGACGGACGCCAGGGACACGACAGCTCTGCACAGACTGGACATTTGGGCACTGTTGATACCGCAGTATAGATGCAATGAACATCTTCAGACTCAAGTGTAAAGTCTGCTGTTAGCACCCATTCAGATTCAGATCCATGATGTATTTCCGATGAAGTCATAGCAGCATTTCACGCTTCCGTTCGTTGCCAGTACCAAACATCCAGGGGTGTGTATCCTTTAAAGGGACCTTCGGAGCATATTTCAAACATATATTTTGTTGAAGCCTCAGGACCGTCGTGTGGGATGATAAAACTGGCTGGTTTCATCTCAACACGAAGAAGATATGATGTACGCAAGGCCAGTTTCTTTTTTCGAGTCCAAATTGCGCGGCCAACGTGTCGGTACAGGACAAGGCTTCTTCCTTGCAAGCCCCAGATTCAATTCCTGCAATGAAGAACTTTGGCGCACGCAAAACATTCAAGCGGGATATTTTTCGCTGCCCCCTTGTCTGTGCGCAGAAATTTCACGTCGATTTCGTTCGAAATCGGCATGAGGACTGGCATGATAAACAGAAGGGGCTACCTGCGAACATCGTCACTTAGACTCTTGATAGGTACACATAAAAGGAACCTACACCCCTGACGTCAGTAGACGTGAACGTTTGTGATGACGTGTTGACGCGGCGGATGGCGTGATACACTTAGCGATAATTGTACTGCTCGGAGTTTGAACATGAGCGTTGCTGGCCCACGTCACATGTCGCTGGTATATACTTGTGTTGTAAGCGCTGCCTTGCAATGAACTGGGCATGCCATGTTTTCTAAAGCCAAAGTGTGCTTCGAGAAGGATCACCGCGCTAAATGTCATTGGGGAGTAATAAAAGACGTGGCATGACGTTTCGTTTTTGTGTGCTAATGAGCCCATAGTTGTCTATGTTTTCATGCTTACTTTGTTTCAAGCTTTCCTATGGTGCGCCGCACATTTTTGTGGTCAGTTCGTGTATTTCGAACGTAAGATACCTAACACATATGTTGAAAAAGCGAAGCAAATAAATAGTATTGCATTCATAGTGGTGGACAGGGAGTCCAACGCAGTAGCGCAGGCAGGGTGGGTACAGGGGGTACGCAACCGCCCCCCCCCCCCCGCCCCTTTAGGTTTCAAGCCAGCTCCATACCGGTCTGAGCTCTGGGCGCCCATTCCCAAGGGGGGACGAGGCCAGGCTCGCGATTTGCATTGGCCAGGCCCTTGCAACAATGTGGGGCTCCTGTGTCGGTCATGGGCACACAGTACCTAACCGAGTATCCTGTGTCAATAAGGGGCCTCGGGTCGACCAGGGGAACATTTGCTGACCAGGGCCGTGGACGGGACCCCGAATGCCAGCGGGCTTCCTGCATTGATCGGGGTCCTCTGACAACGAAATGAAACCCGAGACTATTGAGAAGAGCTTACATTGAAACGACGGAAGAACTCTGCGTCAGTCAGGGCCCCAGGATCGAACGCTGGGCCCTCCAACCCAAAGCCACCCACGGCCCCCTTAGGCCGAACTGGAGTCTATGTGACAATTATTGGACCACCTGCGGCGATCGGTAATATGTTGCGCCAATGAGGGTTCTTGCGTCTATTGGGCTTTAACTGTGAGGGTCAGAATGTCTATCGCGTCTGGGAAGGGACCAACGTGATATGATGTGTCCTTCTAATGACCTCCGGATGGTCTAAGGGACCCCGCCCACATGTCGCGGGGGCGACAGCCAAGAGGCACCCGCGGTGGGACGGAATGGCCCTTCAGCCCCTGATCGGGAACTATAATGTGCCCCTTAGTGTTCTTCTCAACCGGGTCCCTTGCCCGGAAAAAGTAGTGGATTCCGTTAGTATTGAATGGAGTGGGTCAAAATGAGCTAAAAAATGAAAAAGTCAGCCTGTTCGCCTGAAAAGGTCGATTCTCTTACAGAATCGAATTGTTCAACAAATTACATAAAAACGCTTTGAGTCTGTACGCTCGCAAACTCAGGAGCAGGAACAATGTTGGCCGCGGTTGCAGTTTTCGTAAAAAAAAATGTGTTAGCCACTGCAAACAACATTAGTGCGGCGGATAACATGCGCGCGTGATCTACCGTCGTGAAATAATGCTTCCAAAAGTCCTTTGAAATACTTTCGTAATGTTCAAGGATTAGACTGGTGTGCATCTTTTTTTGCAACCTTGAGGCTGTCGTCTGGACAGATGAACAGCCACTACAGCCTACAAATGGAGATTTTGCGTTTACTTGTCTATTTCCGCCACCCAATTTGCACCCCCCCCCCCCCTTCTTTGCCAGCGCTCAGTGTTCGTCACGGAGCCGCCGCTGAGCGGCGCACGGAAACTACAACCCTCGGGCGTCGAGAGTTGTGATGCTAAGATGCGAGCGTGCAATGTTGAGCGTGCAAAACAATGTTATGTGATTTGTCTAACTAGTGGATTCTGACTGAATGTTGAATACATTCAGGCAAGCATAAACTGGCCATGTTAATATAATTTTTAACGCATTTCGATCCACAATGTACGTTCAAGGGTTCCTTAATATCTTTGTAGAAACCAGATCCAAATGCTGACAAAGCTTCTGAGTTCTATCGGTTTAGAAGGGGTTCAATGAGCCATTGAAAAAAATAAAAAGCACCGGTGGTTTATTCCGTGCAGTCGTTTACCGACTGAGTTATCCGATTTATTGACGTCAAAATTTGAACAGAATTGATCTCGCGGTGGCCGATGGCTTGTGCTCCAGTTATAGACCGCAAAAATAATAATGAAACAAAGAAAACCTTTTTGTGTGCGGGATCTTTCACCATCAGGGGCTCTTTCTCAACCTGCGCCCCTCACCATTGTCAAGGCTCTGGACGCGCCCCTGGTCCAAGGGCGCTCCCCAGTCGGAGCGGCTACTTAAAATTGAAGTTATGAGCCATTCAAAAGGAATGGACAAAATTTGTATTCTTATTTTTAAAAAATTGTAGATGCCGACTAAATCAGATGCTCCTGATCTACCAAGAGTCAAAAGTGCAAAAAGGTGGCGAACTTCAAGTGCAACGTACCGATTTTCATGTTAGTGGTTGGATCTGACCTAGCCCTCACATCTGCGCGGGGTCCCAGAAGTCACATCCAGTTGTTTTTGTTTTTGTCGTTCGAGCGTGGTGTTCGTGAGAGCGCCACAAATATGACCCATAAGCAGAGGTGTGGTTTCTTATTCAGTTTGTGGGTTCAGCCCCTCCCCCTCCCCTCCCGCACACACAACTTTGAGAGGAAAGTGGGCTAAATCGGAAAAACGTCTTTTGGCGTGTTTTGGGCGTAGGGTATACCATGTACAGTACTCAGCCTCAGTTCACGCCCAACTTATTTTCCGAAACTACGCCCCAGCCCATAAACTACAATAAGCTGTAAGTGTAGCACCCGTCAGAAAGGCTCCTAAACAGCAACAGACGGCGGAACACTCTTTGAGCTCGGACGAGCACCAGGCAGCAGAAAGCTCCCTTCCAACATGAACGCATGAAAAGTAAGATTTATTTGGTTCTTGAAGCAGCAAGATTAGCACTATGACGATGCTGACCAGGAGATACGCAATGGCTGGGGCGCAGAGGGTGAGAATATGGCGCTATTAGAAAGGAGTGTACTTGAGTTTTTACCTACCTAGGTTGCATATCATCATACCTTCCTGTGCAATACGCTGTTGCACTTTCAGACAAAGCATATCGAACTGTTCAAGTCATTTCTTACCGTACGAGGATCTCATAACACGGTCGCAAGCATGAGACACGCTGCTGGGCCTGGGCGTGCACACGCGGGCCACGAATCTACGTGGCCCCTGGCCCCTCGGTACTCACTCAGCGGGCAGCGTGCTGGTGTAGGGCAGCAGCACCTTGTCGACGAAGCTGCCGAAGCCCAGCCGGAAGTTAGTGGTCAGCTTGCACATCTCGAGGGCCAGAAGGTTGCCGAGCGTGGACAGCTTCTGCTTGTCGTCCTCCATCGACTTGCTGAGGTCCATCAGATAGTAGAGGTCGATCGGGTAGTTGGGCGCCAGCGCGAACCTGACACTCAGCTGCTGCGGCTCGCCCACGCGCAGACTCATGCGCACGTGCTGCGGCGCGATCTGGATCGCGTCGAACGAGCCACCGGACGAGCAGCCGAACGAGTCGCCAGAGCCGCCGGACGCGCCTCCGGACGAGCCGGCGCCGGCGTCGCCTTCATGCTCGCTGCTGAGCGGCTCATCCCGCGGAACCGAAACCTGGTTGGCCCAGGTCTTGAGCAGGCGTTCGTCGCAGCTCAGCGCGCCGCTGCGGAAGTTGCGCTCCCTGTTGCAGCGCGACGCCGTCGTGTTGTCGCCGGTGACGAAGTGCTGAGACACGAGCGGCGCGCTGACGTCACAAGCACGCCCAGCCACGCGGGTCAGGCGCGGGTCAAGGTCAGGCCTGCAGTGGCACGGACGGTACAAGCAGGCGAGCCACCGCGGCCACGTTCTGATGAGGCATGGTTGCAGAGCTGAGAGCGGTTGTGAAGCGCTTTTGTCCGGCAGCTCTTCATTGCAGGCAAGATAAGGAACTAGGAGTCAGAACTGGAAGGCGGAACTAGATTCGATGCTTATGAATAGGTGCAGTTTGGTTACAGAATTACGCATTGCATGAATCAAACAACAGTCGACAGACATGGAGGCACACCTCTAAAAGTTCGGAGTCCAGTGGTCAACTCTGGTTTGGTGCGGTGGGTCAATTTTTTTAAAGCAAAGCTAGCTCGGCTCTGAGAGGCGGTGAACACCAACGACAGACAGTTCAGTGCTATATGGACGCTTCGCATGAAGAGGAAACGTTGGATGACTGCTACGCACCTCAGCTGTTGATAATGCGGCTAATGTCCTTTGCGACGACAACACACGACGTAAGAGAAATCGACTGGCGCCAGATGTTAACGTCCTCTAAACTGTGCACAACTATCCCATGGAATGACAAGTTAAGCCCAGATTTGGATCTGGTCGACTTGCGATCTCGCAGCCAGTGGTAGTGTTGGGAGCGATCTCGCAGCCAGTGATAGTGTTGGGGAGCGATCTCGCAGCCAGTGGTAGTGCTGGGAGCGATCTCGCAGCCAGTGGTAGTGCTGGGAGCGATCTCGCAGCCAGTGGTAGCGCTGGGAGTGATCTCGCAGCCAGTGGTAGTGTTGGGAGCGATCTCGCAGCCAGTGGTAGTGTCGGGAGCGCACTTACGGCCTGAGCACACCAGGCGCACGTCGGACTTTGCATGCATTCGCCGCAAGTCTGCTTGGACAAGCACGGATTCTCTTGGAGCACCTTCGTGGCATCCTGCCCAGAAGTCATGGTCAGGAGGACTGCACAAGCAAAGAGCAGCTGGAGCAGCATTCTTACGGCTGAAAAAGAAGCGCGTTGTTAATTAAGCTGATCATGACCGCCGCAAAAGGTGTGTGAATGGAGGTGGAAAACGGAGCATCAACACCCAAAGTCGCAGCGCGAATAAAACTGAGGTCAGAAACATTCACCTCATGACATTAGCAAGGTCAGTCCATACTGACTAGTCTTTCCAACTGAAGGCATCCTAGCGTCTGCACTCAATGGCCCACTGGTTCCAGGCCGGTGGCTTCAATACATTGCATAGCCGCCTGCCCGCCGACCAAGATAAACTCGCTTCCGTCCATGTCGCACAAAACCCAGCGTCACCCGTCGTAGGTCACTCGGTAAGTCATGACTGCACCATGTGCGGAGGACAACATGTGAACCCGACCATGTTCCGCGACCTGGCCAGCCCGAGCCGGCCGCGCGGCCGGTGCGGCCGCGGCGCCTGCGCTCGGCAGGCGGGCACGGCCTGAGACGGCCTGCCGCGCCGCCTACGCCACCCGCAACGTCCGGCGGCGGTGCGCAGACATCCGCCGCCGCGATAACGTACCAGGCCGCCCGCCGCGATAACGTACCAGCTCGTCCGCCGCGGCGCTGGTGTGCAGCCGGCGGTCTCCGCGCTGACGCATGTCACATAGCGGTGCGTGGGGCTCCGGGAGGGCTCGGGAAGTTCGCCTGTCGACGGAAGGGCCAGCGTCGCTCGGCGATCGCCGCCTGAGCACGGACCCAGCGGACCCACCCCGCCCAGCGGACCCACCCCGCCCAGCGGACTCACCCCGCCCAGCGGACCCGCCCCGCCCAGCGGACCCACCCCGCTCAGGGGACCCACCCCGCCCAGCGGACCCGCCCCGCTCAGCGGACCCACCCCGCCCAGCGGACCCGCCCCGCCCAGCGGACCCATCCCGCCCAGCGGACCCACCCCGCCCAGCGGACCCACCCCGCTCAGCGGACCCGCCCCGCCCAGCGGACCCACCCCGCCCAGCGGACCCGCCCCGCTCAGCGGACCCGCCCGTACCTGACGTAGTGGGAGCACGCCCGGCACAGGCCGCTGGAGACCGCCGTACGCGTGAGCTGGCGCGCGGCCGAGCCTGTGCGGCCCCGCCCGAGCAGGAGCGGCCGGCCGGCTGACGTGGGCCCCGGAGAGCGGCCGCACCCCTCTCTGGAGGGATCACGCCGCAAGACGCAGCCCGGTTGCCTGAGTCGTCTGTGTCACATTTGCAATGCTCTGCGCTGGTCGGAGCCTGAGCCTAAGAAGAAAGCGGTCCTTTTCAACGGTTCCTTCTATGTCCAGAAGTCCACGAACTTCCTCGCCCATGATATTGCATATTTGCTCGAAATCTTGGTCATGCAGCGCTAGCTGCCAAAGCTTCAGCTATTACCTCCAATACAGTCAGTGTTCAGAGGCCAAAATAATGTTGTACCTTTTCGGTATTTCTGATTATCTAAAGTAATTTTTGTGTGAGTGAGCATTCCTATCATGAGCGCAACGTGTGGCATCGCATTCCCGCGCTTGATCGATGAGGGCGCTCCTCCTGCTCCAGATCACAGCTCAGCAACGGCCGTGATCAGTCAGCTGAAAGGAGGCGTAGATGAGAACCCTCCCTCTGAACGCAGGTACGTATGGAGTGGATAAGCAAGCTGATCGTGCGATGACGCCGTGGTGACAGGTGCTCTCGATTCCTCATGTGATGTCGCATGCAGTGCCGGCGCGTTCGGAATGGGTCCTGGCTGACTTGAGACGAGCTATTTCTGAGTTTATGACCGAACTGTTCCAGGCCTGAGAGGGCCTGCTCTGAGTTTACCATTGGCCTTCATCAGCCTAGAGGGCGGCCCTTTCTAAGCTTATCACGAACTTTTCTTGATTCGAGATGAGCCCTTTCAAGACCAGAATGGGCTGTTATCGTACCTGAAACTGACAAAGGCGGTTTCCTGTCTTGAAATGGAACAGTTCCCGCCTAATCTTGCCCCTTTCCAGTTTCAAAACGATTCCAAAGTTTAATATGGGCCCTTTCCGGTCCCGAAATGGACCCTCTGCGTTTACCTTCGTAACACAATAAGTGAATCACCATCACATATCTGAGGTCTCCTTTGAGGTTAAGTGACATTATGGAGAAGCAAAAAGATAAATGAGCCCCTCCTCAAAAGATGGGGATGGGGATGTACCCTAGCCCGCCTCCCCCTCACGCATGGATACGCCGCCACTGGGCCCGACTAATGCCCCTCTTCTTCCCCTTACCGCCTGCGCCTTCATGTTCGTGGAGTTGCTTTGTTCACGCGAGCTACTAGATACAGTCACACAGATAAAAAATCGCAAACCTGGACGATGCGAACAAGATCGCAGCAACGTCCCAGCCACGGCAACGACCATAGCAATGTCCCAAGTGAAACGTCCAGATTGCCTTTAAGGTTAATTGCTCAAGCACGTTGTCGATTTCTTCTGAGGGCTTTCGCTATGTTAACATTTCGCGAAAAGATCGCGTCCTTTTCCCGAGTCTGTCTCGAACAATACGGCAACTAGGGGTTACAGCCCCATATGTCTACGCTTTGAATGGCAACATCTTTTCCATCACCTGCATCCCTGTGCCCAGCCAGCCCGGGCCCTCGGACAGCCATCCCTCCTCCGGACCCGGCCCCTGTCGGGCCCTTATGCCAAATTGGAGTGTCCAGCACCTGTCTAGTCCTGTCACGCACCTGGAAGGTCCGAAGCCCGTCTAGTCCTGTCACGCATCTGGAGGGTCCGGCACCCGTCTGGTCCTGTCACGCATCTGAAAGGTCCGGCATCCGTCTAGTTCCGTCACACACCTGGAGGGTCCGGCACCCGTCTGGTGCTGTCACGCATCTGAAAGGTCCGGCACCCGTCTAGTTCCGTCACACACCTGGAGGGTCCGGCACCCGTCTGGTCCTGTCACGCACCTGGAGGGTGGCCGCTGACCGAGCGCTGGCCGGCCCAGAGCCGTCCGCCGTGCTGTGCTGGCTAGCTACTGACCGGCACTGGAGCAGCCGGGCGCCCTCTGCCGCCTTCCAACCCCCCCGCGGACCGGCACTGGACCGCAGCGTGGCGCTGGCTTCCTAAGACGCGAATCATCGCCGCCCACTGATGTCTCTTGCGTCAAAAGCGCCGTTCAGGGAATGAGACACGTTATTCGGCAATGTAAGTTAGCACCTAGAGGTCAGTGGTGTCCAGTTTGTGATGCCTTTTCGTGTCGTGCGTCCTGACATAGTGTGACGTCACAATGGCTGACGGCATTGGAACGGAAGTGAAGCCTTGTCTCCGTTGTGAGCGAAGCGGCCGGCCGGCTGCGGCGGCGCTGCCGGCCCCGGACGCGGCCGGTGACGAGCGGCGGACGTAGTGGCGAGACAGCAGCCGCGGCGGAGTGACGGACTTGAGCCGCCCTCTTCCGGCCAATCAGGACCTGTGACGAGCTGGCTCGCCTGGCGATGGAGACGTAGGCGGCCCGACTGGCTGTCACTCGCTCGGCGCGTGACGGAGCGGACGCGGACCAGTTCACAGCTCCTGCGCGCAGTAGCGAAGCCAACATTTATGACTTTGATCATAACTGCTTTAACGCGTTTTGTGTCCATTACTCGGCGTGACATTGCTGAGCGGGGGCGATACTTTGCGAAATCGGATGAGCTGGGACCCTTGCCCATGGCAAAAGACAAAAATAGACTAGATCTTGAAAACAAAAGCTCTAAATGTGTCTTTCTGCGGTGCATTTTATCACGATGTCTGAGATCGAAATGCCTTTCTTTTCCAGAGCTTTTGGAATCTATTTGTCCTGCTGGCCAAATTCACATGTCTTTTTGCCATGTTGTAGCCGGGACATTTTGCAATAAATCGACAGGTCGAAGGGTCATCTTTGCCCCCTCATTTCTCAGATTTTTGACAAATGGGCCACAGAGGTTGTCAGCCACGCTGAAGACGTCCATAACATTTTCAGGCCTCCCAGTTAAGCGGTTTCGGGAGTTACAGACTCCTGCATTTCCGTGTTCTGTCGTTCAAGGGCTGCGTTTGGCGGCGATATTTTCTCTACCGTGAAATAAAGCCATACAAAATTATGTGTGTCAAAATAATGTAAGAATCTTCCGATAACGCGTGTGCCGTGGTCGGAGACATCCTTTCACAGCGCACAGTGATTGTGGCATTATGAATATTTGTAATCCACAAAGAACGATATTCCATGCGAGCTGAAACCTTTTCTTATTCGCTTGTGAAAGAGCGTAGCTTAAAACCCATAATTTCAACATAACACGGTGGCTATCGGCTTGGAAAGGTTTGGAAGCAATGTCACAATAAAGAACTCCACTTCATTCGCGCGATCTGTCGTCGGCTACTGGCGCAGTATCTCCCGCGGGTCTCTCCGCCCAGGCAGCGGAAACATGAGCGCATTGTGAGAAAACACTAAGCTTAACAACACAATGGCTCGCAGACACGTAGAAGTCCACTCAGTAGGCCAGTGACTCAGTCCAATTCACTCTAACTCATCAATATTCTTTAAATCAAGCGACCGCTACTTAGCCTGCTACAAGCGACCGCTACGACCCTCTCATAGCCTGAATCTCACTCACGGACAATGCCAGTCTGAGCACTCCCTGGGGTTATGTTCCTGTAATACTCTTGGTTGGAAGATACCTTGTCTGGTGCTAAAATCATCCTCTGCCCAAAGGACTTCTCCTTATGGTATGAAAAAACATACCGTCTGCTTGTTAGCCTTGCCCTGCAAAAAATGCCGTAGCTTCTCAGCAGAGAGAATATGACCGAAATGGAAGCCAGACAGGCTGACACTGTCAGCAACTGTTTTCAAAGTCCCACGAGTACTTTTTTACAGGTCCCCGTCGCAAGGGTTCTTCCCATGGGATGAGGCAACGTAATGTCACTCGCACTTCACGCC